CTTTCCATGTCACTAACAGTTGCTCAATATGTTGTGTTAAGCTTTTCAAAGAAACAATGTCCCCATAAATAACTATCACATTTGAGATGATTTCTAAATCTTCACCAGATCTTTCCATAATGCACAGAAAAATGAATTCTAGGTACTAGGGATCATTTTCAAAAAGGCTATGCAGATGCTATTACTCTCCATATCTTCTCAAGTCTGACAGAATCTCAGTCCCTCTGTGGTCATCTGGGAGGATCAGAACAACCCAGGACCAGCTGAAATGAAACATCAAAGAAACTATGGCAAGTGACAGAGATGTGTCCTTGGGGGGCATCTGACAGAATTAAACTGACCTCAGTCATTTAAGATACAATAAAAAAGCCCAAAAGTAAGCTGTAGAAAAAGAAAATTGGAAGCAAGAAGAACACTGGCATCAAACAGAGTATCTATCACTCCTAAATCAACAGGTGTTAACAGTCAGGATGAAGATGGTTTTGTCATATCTTAGAAGGCAAACCCAATACATACTTTTCTAAAAAAAATAAAATAAACTAATGACAGATGTCCAGTTATAGTCGTGTAGCTGGTCTCATCCACATCTCCTTCGTTTCTCCTTCAAGTAATGGAAATGTGAATCTATCAAGTACCTTCATACTTTCCTTTGCTAGATGATTTATCCAAGTACCCCTATTTTACATTTTCAGACATCCAGTAATGCCAAAACATGATACTTGACTCCTAGTTCCAACACCTCAACTCTCACCTGAGGTATTTTGTAAAGTTGTAGCAGTTGCCAAGTTGGGAAGATATTGTCCATGATGCTCCTGTGAGTGCAGCAGGTGACATTCTCTTCAGTCCACAGTTGTAATTAGCTAGAGGTATCCTCCCAGGTGTGAACCAAAGTGAGCGAAGATACTCATTTCATAAGGTGCAACATTATGGAGATCAAAGCCCAGATTTGTGTTGGGTAGAAGATTAGGGTTTCTGCTGATTTCCTCAATGGCAAATACCAGGGCCAGAAGGAAGTGGTGGTTCTTAAACTTATACCTGGACAGATTTAAGAAAAACATACATGAAGAAGAAAAAGACCATAGACCCTCATATTTAGTGCAATGGCTGTTAGAATTCAAATGCTAATGTTTCTGTAAAATAATTATTTTAATGTCTTGTCATGAATGACTGGAATTAGAAGGGGCATTTTAAGTAGATAAGATTAGGTAAGATCCTGCAGTATTAGCCTTTATTAGCTATGGTCTCAGCTGGGATACAAAATGAATAAACTTAATAAAGAAATTAATTAATTAAAAAAGAAAGTATGAAAGACATCACACTGTTTTTCAAAATTACAATAAAAATTAAAACTCTAAAAAAATAAAAAATAAAGAAATTAGATTAAATTTTTTTAAAAAAAGAAAGGAGAATCCAAGATGGTAACGCTGAGAGGACAGTGTCTGAAGAGCAGGACAGCAGTGACTTCACAGCAACCAACAGACCACTCTGGGCCCCAAAACACCAGCAATTGTGTTTCCCAGGTGAAAGCAAACCCCACAGAGTGGGAAGTAATCGGGTCCATTTTAAGTCACCCAGCTAAACCCTGGAAGGGTTCCCAGGTCCCTGCAGGCACTAGTTTACCAGCCCAGAGCCACACGCCTGTTTGCTCTGATCACCATCCGAGACAGAACTGTGGATCCCACAACACCAGAGACTGGGACTTCCAGTCGAGAGAAAGCACCATGGTAAAGGAAGCAATCGGAACCAAAATCAGACCATCCAGATAATCCCTGGAAAAGGTCTAGGCTCTAGGAGGCGTTCAGCCCAGAGACCTGACTGTGCACCCAACTCACTGTCCCAGACAGAACTGTGGGCCCCAAAGCACCAGGGACAGGGTTTCCCTACTGGGAGGAAAACCCACAGTGAAGGAAACATCAGGTCTGCCCTCAGGGCATCCAGCAGATCCACCCCCCCAACCCCTGTAATGTTCACAGGAAAAGTTCCTGGATTCCTGCAGGTGCCCAATAGCCCGCCAGCACAGAGTCACTTGCCTGTTCCTGCATGCTCTACTGCATCCTAGACTGAAATGTGGAACCCAAAACAGCATAGACTGGGTCTCCCTGTCTGGAGGAAACCCCACAGTGGGGGCAACATCAAGTCCGACTTCAGAACACCTAGCTCAAAAAAAGTTTCTGGGTTCCCACTTGTTCTAGGCTCTAGCCTCCTGCTGCACACATGAGTGCTGCATTCACCTGCTACTGATTATCATGTAGGTACTGGGCACCAACCTCAGATCTACAGAACTCTGGGGTCCATGGGATCAGCCCCAGACAAAACAGTAATTAATTATTTGCTTTTCCTTTTGCTAAGGTGAAAGGGCCATGATGAAGGACAGGTTTTAAAAAGCAATCCATGACATGATTCTTAAAGCTCTAACAGGGTGGCAAGTCTTCCCTAGCCTCAGGCTAAAGACAGAGGAAACATTCTGTCTGTACACCTTCAGAGTCATGTGGCTAAAGTCAGGCTCTATGTCATCTGAAGTCTGTGGTCTAGGAAACAAAATTTGAACCTGAAATCATCCAAGAAAGAAGATGGCGGGCATGAAGTTGCAGACTTATAATTCCAGGACAAGGAGCTGATAGAGGATGTGAGCTCCAGACCAACCTAGGCTTCAGGCTTCTAACTTCTTGTCCCATCAAAAACCAGAGAACTGGACTGAAGAGATGGATCAGTGGTTAAGACACTTGCTGCTCTTGAAGAGGACTGGGTTGGGCTCCCAGCACTTTTAGGAGGTGGCTCACAACCACCCCTAGTTCTTGGGCACCTCTTACCCTCCCCTGGCCTTTGCCAGGCATGCATACCTACATGCACACAGATAAACAAAATAAATCTACTTAAAACTTGAGAAGGACAGATTTGAGAGAGAGATGGATGGGTGGACACCACAGGAGCTCACCCTGCACTTGAGACTACTGACTCTGCCTAAGACCCCTCATTGTGCCAGCCAGGCTGCTGTGCCAAGCGACCTGCTGCAGCTCCTGCTAACCCTATGACTGAGACCATCGTATCTTCTGCTCTTGATCTACTCATCACCAGTTCACTTGTTTTTTTCTCTTTCTTGAGATGGGGTCTCATATAGCCTGGCTGCCTCAATCTCAGTCTGTAACTGAGGATGACCACGAGCCTCTCATCTTAGCTCCACATGCAGTGCTGTGTTTACAGACCTACAGCACCTGCCAGGCTTCTGCAGCGCTGCGGGATGGAAACCAACTCAGCAAGTTCTTTACCTTCTGAGCCACATCCCAGTCCCAGCTCCTTTTCTAGACTGGGAAGTTTCCTTTATCACCGAGCGGCTTTCAGGGTACTGTATTTTGCAAATAAAGGAGCCCAATGGGCACCTGTCCATGCTAACAGGCAGTGCCCACTTATCCTCACCTGCATTTGAAGTCACAGGACCCTGCAGCCAGCAAAATGCTGTTGGGGTGCCAGTCCAAGCCTAATCCACACACTTTTGGCTTTTCAAGACAGACTTTCTCTTTTAATAGTACTATCTGTTCTAGAACTCACTTTGCAGACCAGGCTGGCCTTGAACTTACAGAGATCCACCTGCCTCTGCCTCCTGAGTGCTGGACCTAACAATGTGCGCCACACTGCCCAGCTTTATATACAATTGTTTATAATTATGTAAGATTTCTATAAAGAAATGGATCTGCTTTGTTTTTGTCTAAAACTGTCATCAAGTGTCTTTCTTGATCATTCTCCAGCTTTAATTGTTGAGGCAGAATCTCACTGGACTCAAAGTTCATCAGGCCCTGTTGGTCAAGCTACCTAGTTTGGGCTGGGGTTCCCTGACTGCTCCTTCAGAGAGCTAAGATCTGGGCAACAGCCTGCCCAGCATTTATGTGGGTCCCAGGGGTCTCAACTCCACCCCTCGCACTTACACAGACAAGACTTGTACGCACTGAGTGGTCCTCTCAGCCCACTTTAAAAAAATATATGATGATTAGTCTTTTGAGATAGGGATCTCTTTGTAGCTCTGGCTGTCCTGGAACTTACTATGTAGAAAAGCAGACTGGCCTCAAACTCAGAGCGATCCTACTGCCTCTGTATCCTGAGTGCTGGGATTAAAGGTATGTGTCACCACGCAGTGGTTCACTCCTTTAATCCTTACATTTGGGAGGCTGAGGAAGGTGGATCTTTCTGAATTTAAGACCAGCCCAGGCTACAGCCTGGACAACCAGGGCTACACAGAGAAAACCTGTCTCAAAAAAAGCCAAAAAAATAAAGGAGGTAGCTGTGGTGTGGTGGCACATGGCTTTAATCCCAGCACAGATTTCTTTAATCCCAAACAGATTTCTGAGTTCAAGGTCAACCTGGTCTACATAGACAGTTCCAGGCCATCTGGGGCATGAAACCTTATCTAGCCATGTACACCTCAGCCACAAGAGGCACATAAGAATGAAGGTTACTATTTTTCCCCTCAAGTTTTCTCTAAATTCAGCTAGGTGCCTTTAATTCCAGGACTCAATGCCCAGCTTTAGAAAAATTCTTTTAAGTAGCTGAGTACCAGGCAGTGGTTCACATCTTTAATCCTACCACTTAGGAGGCTGAGGCAGGTGTATCTCTGTGAGTTCAAGGCCAGCCTGGTCTAAGAGTGAGTTCCAAGATAGCCATGGCTACATAGAGAGACCTTGTCTCAAAACATGAAGAAAAGAAAGAGAAAGAAAGGAAGAAAAGAAGGAAGGGGGAGAGAGAAAAAAGAGAGAGGAAGAAGAGAAAGAAAGAAGGAAAGAAGGAAGGAAGGAAAGAAAGAAAGAAAGGAGAAAGAGAGAAAGAAAGAAAGAAAGAAAGAAAGAAAGAAAGAAAGAAAGAAAGAAAGAAAAGAAAAGAAAAGAAAAGAAATCTCAGTAAATGCTATGGCCTGAACTGGGAAGGTGCATTTAACTTGACCAGGTTCTGTACTTACGTGTTTGGAAGCATCACACTGAGCCGTATTACCTGTGATGTGTCTGTTATGCTCCTTCAGCTCATGAGCTTTCACCCACTCACACCCATTCTTCTTGTAGATGTACACTTCATGATTATTGGGGCTAAAGGCGATCTCTGGAGGAAGAAGGCAGCATGACTGTTAGCCCATGGCTATCCCTTGTTAGTCTCTGCAGCACTGGGGCGGGAGGCCAGAGAGATGAGACTGCAAGGGAGGCTCGCTGCAGCCCCACTCCCACACAGAAGCAGCAGCAGGGCACACTTACGGGTGCGATCCCTGTTCCAGGCATGGCAGGTGATCGGCTCCAGCAGAAACTGATGCAGAGACATGGTTCTGATGGCCCTCGAAGGTCAGCCGGCTGTGATGAGCAACAGGAAATGAAACGCCTCAGATGTCATGCAATCGGTGTCACCAACCTATGTGGGGATGAGCGCAGCCCTCATCTCCCATTAGATCAAGACTCCATCTCAGTGCAAAAATTAATCATGTAACCAGGACTGGCGCAGTCACCACCAGTGTGGAATTTATTCTCAAGGGTCAACCATGAACTCTACAATCACAGGTTAGGGGACAGCACATGGCAACCTGAAAGCAAGGACTGAATTTGTCATCCACACTTTTAAGAACAAAATAGATCATCAAGGCAGAAGGCACTGGGGCTGTAGCAGAATGTGGCAGGGCCTGGGTTCAGTGCCCAGTGCAGAAAGAAGGAAGTGAAAGACCCCAGCCTCACCCTAAGTTAAACATAGCTAACGCCATTTTGTGGGACACCACTGTTTTGTAAAACTCTGAAGGCCAGATGAGAAACTGGAAAATTACTAAAAAATCCTAGCTGTGTCACCCACTTGGGATATCTGTGGTCAGGCTGCCCCAGTCATACTAAAAACAGTTTGTGTTAATCACTCTCATAGATATCTGTGAGACTGTTTCAGCTAAGATAGAAAAAAAACAAAATAACAGGTGGTGGGCCACGTCAAGGGGTCATCCTACCCCCCTTGACCACCCAGTTCCTGGAATCTTGGTGCCCCTGCCAAACTTTGACGCAAATTGTGGTCTCATGTAAACGTACCAATCAGCCCCCTGTAACCATGCCCTCTCGCTTCTGTACCAGTGCTTCTGCTCTAAAACCCTATAAAAACCCCAGTTTTTCCCCAAGGAGGCGCCCAAGGTTCTCCCGAGTGACCTTGCTGCCCCGTGTACTCGTGAATCAAAATAAAAGCCTCTTGCTGTTTACATCCGAATGGACTCGTTGTTCTTTGGGAGGGGGTCTCTCTGACGGAAGATCCCCTCCGGGGATCTTTCAGAAGAAGAATGGGGTCTGAAGAGATGGCTCAGCAGTTAGCAGTGCACACTGTTCTTTAAAGGACATGAGTTAGGCCACAATGAGTGACTCACAACCACCTCTAACTCCAGGTCTAGGGGATCCAGTGTCCTCTTTACCTGCACTCACAGGACACAGCCCAGAGACACACAAATACAAAGAATTTTAAAATAAAAACAAATCTGAGCAAGTGTGTGGCACACACCCTTAGTCCCAGCACTCAAGAGAAAGAGGCAAGAGGAACTCTGGGAGTTTAAAGCCAGCCTGATCTACATAATGAATTCCAGGCTCGCCTGGGCTATGGAATGAGACTCTGCCGTAAAAGAAAGTCAATCAGTAGGTCAGTTAGTCAGTCTAACAGGAAGCTACAGAACCATCCTGGATAAACCTTAGAAGATGATCAACCAAGCTATGAAGCACAACTGCAGAACACATTTACTGTAAAGCCATTCAAGGTCTGGACCTCACTTTTAGTTTACTGGAGATAAAGGGAAAAGGACACTGCAAAACAAGGTCAAAAGGTTAAAATATGCTTGGTCTTGTTCTCTTATTCATGACTTTTAAGGTTCCAACTTAGCAAGGACAAAACCTAAAGTCCTAATATTTAATGGTTAACAAATGCAAGTTAATAGTCATTTCATAAGATACATATTTATAGTCCTACAGATGCAAACATGGTCTCACTGCAATTTTTAATAAACAGCTGAGGGTAGTCCTTGAGTCACCATATAGGAGTTGGTAAAAATAGTAAGTTCTGTCCCAACTGGCTCCAGACCTTAGCTGCACTCTGAAGCTACTGGCACTCCCACAAAAAGGCAAGAGGTTTGCATATCCAAAAGTCAGTTCCGCCAGATGACTTTTTCAAATGCAGCCAAGGTCCCGCTGCTGATGCAACATGCCATAGCTCGCTGCTGGGAAACTGGTCTCTGGAAGTCTAAATGCTCCCAAGCAGGCTTGTCTTCTGTGCCCAGCCATGGAGGTTCAACCAGCACAAGAGCCACAAACACTTCCAGCCTTCTAGCTCGTTGGCCTGATGGAGGACGAATGGCTCCTTGACTCAGCAACCTCCACAGCTCTCGCCCAGCACTGAGCAATATTACAGGTCTGTAGAATGAGGTCCCACGGACATATTGCCAATTTCTGTGTTGGGAGACTTCAGGTGCCTTCCCAGTTCTCTTCATATGCAGGAGACCAGGCCGTAAGCCTAAGTCCTAGAGCTGCTATTTTCAGGCCTAGACACAGTCCAGACTCAAAAAAACAGGCTTAAATGTAACCTTTTACCATCCCTTTAGCTAAAGGACAATAAATGTGCATAGCAGTCTCAACTATGTCTCATGGTAAATAACTAAATACAAAGGTCCCTCTCAAAAAACATATTTGAGAGATGTCTTAAGGTTGATAAACGTATAAGTTATACATGTTTGAGAGTCTAAAAAGGTGTCTTAAGGTTGGTAATGCAATTTATAAATGTTTGAGGGTCTAAAAAATGTTTTAAGGTTGGTAAATCCAAGTTATAAAGGTTACAACGTTTAAGGTGATTTAATGTATCTTAAATAGTCTTAATATTTCCTCCTGTTGTTATGCTACTGTTGTATTGACTGTCCAGAGTAGGTAAAAAGGCTTAATATTTCCTCCTGTTGCTATGCTACTGTTGTATTGACTGTCCAGAGTTTTAACCTTTATCAATAGGGCTCTAATTTATTAATCTAATTCTGATAAAAAAAAAAAAACATTCCACTATACCACGTACTATTATGGTTCTAAGCTCAAGATTGTAAGCCTCCATAATATGGATGCTTATACTAAAAGTTAAGATTAAGTGAGTTTCCCTTTTACTTCATAAAAGGCTTTTGCCTTTTCAGAGCTCACCTTAAAAAATACTTATGCTATTAAGTATTTATGTATGTCTACTGCTTTTTTCTACAATGCAGAGTACAATTGTGATACTAACATGTCTAAAGTTTTATCTCCTTCTTAAAACTTAAAAGTAATTCTTATAAGCTGCAGAAAGTCCACCTAAATCCACCTCTCAGGTCAAGTGGACTCCAGATAAGTACCGCACTTATTGCCTATCTCAAAAGGTGGGACTCGTCCCCTTTTCCTGCTTTTGGGACTTCATTTCCTAGCTACCAGACTGCTGTTTACTGCATGCAACACTGGCTGGATTGGTGAGTTCTCTTTATTGACCAGCCACTAGATTGGTGAGTTCACTCCACTTTTTCAGCATAAAACACCTCTCTTGGTAGGGGAAGCTTGACTGCAGAGCTCCGGCAACTTCGTACTGTCTTTTGAGACAGAGGGACACCCCCCAGCCATAGTCTAAACTGTCTACGGTTGACCCTCTATGCTGACCTCCATTTTAGGGCCCCACTCTCCCTTGGGTGGTACGTCTCCACTTGCACATGGTTTCTCCTTCCTCTCTCTCGCTGGGGGGAAGACCTAGTGCTAGGCAAACCATCGTGCCCTTGTCTGTGCCCTGCTGGGCATCTGCACCTTGGCCATGGCCTGCTGGGCATCTGTGCCCTGGTCTCTGGCCAAAAGCTGATGGGTTATTGGACCAGGTAGGACCTCTCGCTTGAGCCACACCTTGCCTTTGGATGCCTTTGGAAGGTCCCTGACTTCTGCCCCCAATGGGAGATGACCAGATGCCCGTCCCTCCAGATAGGATGTCCTCTGCAGAATTTCAAGTTTCTACACCTAGTGCCAGCTAGCACTAGGGCCTCCACGTTTACACACTTCTGTAACCAAACATCACCTCAATGACAGATCCAAAACAAAGCCTTTTTTAACTACTGCCAGTGATTGGGTAAATAAAGGTCCCCACAGGTAGACAGAGGTTCCCATGTTCAAGTCTCATTGATCCAAAACTTCCACCTCTGTTTGCTCTCCCAAAAGTTTTCAATGCATACCTAAAGGATTTTCCCATAACCTACTCAACTTTATCTTTTGCTTATATATATGTTTCAGTGTCCTGCCAGACAAAGATGTTTCCTATAGCCACAACAGCGCCAAAGCAGCTACAAGTGTTCAACTCTGACCTCACAGACTTCCAATAAGATGGACCTGCACCTTCCCTCCCAGCCATGGATGTTCTTGCAGACCCTGGATAGCATCAAAACAGCCTGTTCTTCCTGGACTTGGCCAACATTTCAGCCTTTTGACCTCCCTACAGCGCCTCCAGTGTCAGCAGGAAGTATCCAGAAGAGAATCTATGCCCATTATTCACTTCTCATTAACAAAAGGCTAAAATGGTGTACTTCAGGACCAGGACAGGAGCTCCAGGTTCTCCCAGTGTTCCCCAGTCCCTACCTGCTACCTTCATGGCTGGCAACTCTCTCTATTGACAACCCTCTACCCTAAATTTTCTAGGGCAGAGGCTTCCCTTAATCTTGACCTTGCAATCTGACCATTTTGTTGCTATAATTCTTCTCTCTCTCAAACCCTTGCATGACAACCAAGAGTTGCTTCCAATGAGCTTAAATTTATATACTTTAACTTACCTTATAAAAAAGCAGCCCACGCTCCCCATATTTTAATTACAGAAAAAGAGAGGAATGTTAGTATTTTGGAACACAACCTGCTCCTGGGTTACCCAGCAACTTATGATGTTATCATGTGTTGCTGGCCAGGGGGCCACACCTAGAGGGTGTGGTTACCTTGCCCCTTAAAGGGATGACCCCGACACATGGTCTCTCTTTCTCTCTCGCTCTCTCACTCTCTCGTTCTTCTTTCTTTCTCTCTTGGGGTGCCCCTTTCTCTTTCTTTCTCTCTCCCCACCATGCCCTGTTCCCCCATACCCTCCATACCCATTTAATAAATCTCTTGCATAGAAGATCTGTTGACCCAGCCTCATTCTTCTTTTAATAATAAGCTAACACTGCTCTTACAAAGGACCCAAGCTAAGGCCACAATGAAAGGCCCACAACCACCTCAACCTCCAGGTCCAAGGTTCTGATGTCCTCTTCACTTGCACTCACAGGACATAGCCCAGAGATATACAATACAATGAGTTTAAAGATAAAAACAAAGCTGACCTAGTGTGTGGCACACACCCTTAGTCTCAGCACTCATGGCTTCCTATAGTTTCCAAGAGAAACTCTGGGAGTTCAAAGGCAGCCTGATCTACACATTGAGATCCAGGCTAGTCTGTGCTACGGAGTAAGATGCTGCCTTAAAAGAAAGTCAGTCAGTCTAACAGGAAGCTACAGGACCATCCTAGATGAACCTTGGAAGATGATCAACTCAGCTATGAAGCACACCTGCCAAACACGTTTACTGTAAATCCACTCAAGGTCTGGATCTCACTTTAAGTTTACAGGACATAAAGAGAAAAGGACACGGCAAAATGAAGTCACAACTGACACAGGCCTTCATATGTACTCAGCAGTGAAAGCGCTTGCTGTACAAGCCAGATGGCCTGAGCTAACCCCCAATCCCCAGGAATACTGTGGACAGAAACATATGCCTCTGTTGTCCCACTAACCCTTCAGGGAGAAGCACATAGAGACAGGAGAATCTGCACAGGCAGGCTGGCCAGCCAAAGGCAGAAGAGTCTGTCACAAACACAGTGGAAGGTGAGGACTGACGCCCGAGACTGTCCTTTAACTTCTTGGCATGTTCCCATGCATGCACATACTCACTGTTCCCGTGTGTGTGTGTGTGTGTGTGTGTGTGTGTGTGTGTGTGTGTGTGCATGTGCGAGCGCGCGCACACACGCACACACACACACACACACTATCTCTTTTCCCATTTTTCCCTGTAGAGAACAAGTTGCCTAGACTATTTTAAAAGGCAATAAGGACAGGTATGGTAGCAAATAGCTGAGATTCCAGCACTTGGAAGCAGAGGGAAGAGTCTGTACTAGATTTCAAAAGAGCCGTGAAAATCAAATTTCATAAAAGACAGTTGATTATAATTGTTATGTTTAAAAATAGCCAAAAAAGACATGTGTTTGGTAACAAATTTGAATTTGAACTCGATTATTATATAACAGAATGAAATTATCACCATTTTCTAGTTATGATAATGGAATTGCCTTGGGCAGAAACAAGTCTCAGCCATGATAGAGTGATGGACGATGTGTTTGGGATGAAATGTCCTTTCTTCTCACTTTGTAGCCTTGCCTGCCTGGAACTCACTATAGACCAGGCTGGCTTCACAGAGATCCACCTGGCCCTGCCTGCTAAATGCTGTAATTACTGTCTTTTCACTTGAGAAAGGGTCTTACTATGTAGCCCAGGCTGGCTTCCAATCAATAAAAGAGGTGAACAGCAGGATTACTTCCACAGCTGTTCTATCAGTCAAGTTCTATAACTGAACACACATTAAGGCTTCCTATAGTCGTTTGGCTCTTTTAAGCCTCTTTTGTACCAAGCAAAAATAAACCTTCATTCACATGCTGAAAATATCACCTGAACTGCAGGTGATATTTAAGTGACATTTGAAAATCTTAACAAGGCTCAAGAGGAGAAATGTTTATTCTGGGCCCTCGGGAAGCAGCAGGATCTCTGTGAGTTCCAGGCCGACCAGGACTACACAGTAAGACCCCTTCATGGACAAAACAAAACAAGCAAAAAACCAGGCTTCAATTGCCCCAGCCCAGCACTGAGGAATGAAAAAGACTGAAGGAACAGGGTGACTTGCTAGGCTCCCACTCTCTTCAGCTTTCACTTTTCCTCTTTGTGTGGTGCTGGTGAACCAACCTATTTTGCAAACCAGGCAAGTGTGCCACCAACTCAACCACATTCCCTCCCTTCATGTGCAGTCATTTCAGTGTCTGGGTAAAACGGGCTTTGGAGACAAGGATGCCTAAAGTTTGAATCTTGGCTTTGACACACACATAACAAGATGCTGGGCCAGTCATTCCTCATTCTACCTGTAAAGTAGGTCTCCAAGAGACAGGAGGATTAAATGAGATAGCACATAAAAGCATGGTGGACCAACACCAGCCCCAAACCGGTCCCAGTGACTTAGGTCTCTGGTCTTCTGGGTTGTAAGCCTAGCCTTTAATGGAGGAGCAATCTTGCTAGCCCAGTAAATTAGTTCTCTGTGATTCATCTGATTTCTCATTGCTCTCAACACCCAACCCAGCAGTACCAGCTGCTCCAATAAGGGCACCCTACCAATGTTCAGACAGGCTTCATTCGAAGTTCCAGCTTCACTGGACCACTCTCCACTTCCTGTGGAGAAACCCTTTTGACTTAGGGGTTAGAATGGCTGCTATTATTATTATTATTATTATTATTATTATTATTATTATTATTATGTCTTTAATTTTATATATTTATTACAATTTATTCACTTTGTATCCCCGCTGCAGCCCCAGGAATGGTTCTTATTTATTCTCATATTATTTAAACAGCTACTCTGGGTCAGGAATTACCATCAGCAACTCGAACTCACACAGACCTAACGGAACCAAGCGGACCAACCCGGGGAAACTGAGACACCGAAGAAACCAACCTTCCCCTGGTCACCTGGCAAAGTGAGAGGGAGTCAGATGGGCACTAAGGGGCTCCTACATCAAGGACTCTACGCTGATGAACAGGGGCGTAGAGAAGGCAGGGGAGGGACTAGAATAGAGCAAAGGAATCTTAAGGTGACTGGAGAAAGATGGCTTTTCTCTTGATGGAGAAGGGATCGCAGGATGCTCTAGGCAGCCGAGCCACGCGAGCAGACGCTCGGGGTCGGGGTCGGGTGTGAGTGTGATGAGCGTCAGGCTGATGGGGTGTAGGTGGGGTGGGGACCCGGATGCAGCAGGTTCACCGCGAAGTACAGACATCTGGGCCCCTCCGTCCGCGACCAGCGCAGCAGTGCCCCGGCCCCGCCGACCCCGCTCCCCCACAGAAAACACGACGGACCGAGGCGACCGGAGCGGACGCCAGGCCCTGCGGCTCCTTACCCGGGTCTGGGAGGTCAGGATGGAGGACGGAAGGGAAGCTGAGAGGGATGGCCGGAAGGGTCCGGTAAGTGCCCAGGGCGCCTGCGCGCGGGCTGGCGTGTGTAGGCACAGATGCAGTGTGCGCTAGGGGCTGAATGAAATGGCTCCAGAGAGACAGCAGCAAGTCTGCGCTGGGGCGTGCTTGTGGAACTGGGTGGGAGTTCTACTCCTTTCCTAAAGGAGGAAAAATATATACATGCACTTATATACATACACACATACATACATATATGCATATTTACATACATATATATGTATTTATACATATATATATACATAAATACATACATATATACAAACATATATACATATATACATAATACATATATACATAATACATATACATATAACATACATGTGTATTATACATATGTACAATTATACATGCATATATACACAAATACATACATATGTACATGATACATATATACAGACATATATACATACTTGCATGCATAAATATATGCATATACATATATATATGTATATATACATACATACACACACACACACACATATATATACCTACATATACACATACATCCATGTATACATATGAATATCGAGGGACACTCAGCACCCTACCTGCACCACTGATGCCTAGAAACACAGAAGGTGAGGGCTGGGGAGATGGCCCAGTGCTGAAGACATATACCAGAGATTAGCTCTTGGCACCCATGCCAGGCAGCTGAGGAATGCATGTATTACCAGCCCTCGGGGATGTGTCACCCTCTTCTGGTCACCATGGGCACTGTTCCCTCTCCTGCCAGTGATCCCAGAGCTCGGTAGGCGAAGACAGGTGGATCTCTGTGAGTTTGAGTCCAGCCTGTTCTACAGAGTGAGTTCAGGACAGCCAGGGCCACACAGAGAAAACTTGTCTCAAAAAACAAAACAAACAAACACAAAATCATTTCTTTGAGCACTCTATTGCATCCAAGAAGAGAAGAGAGCCTGGGATGCCAGTATATATGGTTGTGAGTTGCCATGTGGGTGCTGGGAATTGAACATGAGGACCTCTGGAAAGGCAGCCAGTGCTCTTAACTGCTGAGCCATCTCTCCAGCCCCCATGTGCTTTTCTCTTATACTGCTCACAATCCCTTGCCTTGAAAATTCAACAAGGGCGTAGGATTTCCTCCATCAATTAACAATCGCCATTCCTGAATTTTGGTAACCTGACACTTATAAATCAACCACCTTCACACCTAAAGGACCAGCTTTGACAGCTCAGCATGGCCGAATTCCATGTCAAAGTTTTGGCTCTTCTTTGAGATCCCTTGGCTGGGAGCTGCATCCCCGGCCAGTGTCACAAGAAGGAGAGTCGTCTGCCAACTCCTTTGTGGCTAGACTGCAAGTGTTCCACCATTTGTGTGCACTTTGATCTCTAGTATATAAATGATAATGTCTCTCTCTCTCTCAGTCTCTTTCCTTCTCTCCCTCCCTCTTTCTCTCTCTCTTTTTTAATTTTTTTTAAAGATATGATTTCTGTGTGCAGTCCTGGAACCCCTCTGTAGACCCAGGAGACAGCCACCTGCCTCTGTTTTCCAAATGCTGGGATCAAAGGTGTATACCCCAACTGCCAGGCTCCCTGTCCTTCTCAAAGTTTCCTTCAGAAAGTTATTCTCAAAGGCCCTCTGTGGTTCTTCAGACTGTTCACTAAAGGAACACATAATCTTACTGTACAGATCTCTTTTGGATGAAACTAATGATAGCCAGTTCCTTGACCACATGGCATCACCATCTTCTAAAAACCATTTTAATTGTCATCTTGACACATAGGAGGCTCATCTGAGAGGGAAGCTTCCACTGGGGGAATTGTGTAGATTTGATTGGCATTAGGGCATATATGTGGATATTGTTGTGGTCACTGACTGATTCAGGAGAACCCAGAACATTGCAGGTGGCACCATTTCAATTCCAGAAGTCTTGGGTAGTATAAGAAGGCTAGCTCAGTGTAAGCCTGTGAGCAAGGGGTTGTTCCGCCATGGGTCCTGTTATGACCTCCCTCATCGATAAATTGTGACCTGGAAGGGTTAAGTCAAATCCTTTTCTCTGCAAGTTGCCTCTGGGTTGAAAGTTTTATCATCGCAGCAACAAAGTGAAACCAGAACAGCACCCACCTCTGTGAAGAACTGAGGAGGAGTATCAAGTCTCATAAAAGATCCCTAGGCTCAGATTTTTTGGTTCTGTTGCTCTCCTTGTGGTGCTCCAGACCCTTCCAGATCTTTCTATCTCCTCCTTCTTTCATATGATTCCCTGCCCAAAGTTTGACTATGAGTCTCAGTATCTGCTTTGATACCCTGCAGAGTAGAGTCTTTCAGAGGCCCTCTATGATAGACTCCTATCTTATTCCTTATTTTCACCTTCTTCTAATGTCCATCTTCTTTGCCTTTCTGAATGAAGATTGAACATCTTACCCAGGGTCCTCCTTCTTGCTTAGCTTCTTTAGGTGTACAGATTTTAGTGTGTTTATCCTATATTATATGTCTAATATCTACTTATAAATGAGTATATACCTTGTGTGTCTTCCTGCTTCTGGGATAGCTCAATCAGGATTATCTTCTCTAGTTCCCACTATTTGCTTTCAAATTTCATAATTCCCTTGTTTTTAATTGCTGAGTAGTATTCCATTGTGTAAATGTACCATAATTTTTGTATCCATTCCTCAGTTGAGGGACATGTGGGTTGTTTCCAAATTTTGTCTCTGACATGAACTCAGTGGCTGGCTCTTTGATCACCTCCCCCTGAGGGGGGGAGCAGTATGACCAGGCCACAGAGAAAGACTATGAGTCCTGATGATACCTGATAGGCTAGGGTCAGATGGAAGGGGAGGAGGTCCTCTACTATCAGTGGACTGGTGAAGGGGCATAGGAGGAGATGAGGGAAGGAGGGAGGGCAGGATTGGGAGGGGACGAGGGTGGGGCTACAGCTGAGATGCAAAGTGATTAAATTGTAATAAACAAATTATTATATTAACGAAATGACAGTAGTTGGTGGATTTATCCATTATGAAAAACAGTATGCAATAAAATATAATTACACACACACACACACACAAAGAACTGATGAGGAAGGGCAGACTGTCCTCCAGCCAATGATGGAGGTTCCTGAAAGCTACTTTCTGGTCTTTTGGACTTCATTTCCCTGTAGCTAAACAAGGCTCTCCCAACTGGGCAACTCTGCCTGCCATTTTCCTGGAGTTTATCTTCCAAGAGTGTCCTGGAGTTCATAAAGGGAACTTTAAGCTACAGGAAGATGGAGGGCAGGAGGTGAGGAAACTGGCAGTCAATACAGTACCAGTGAGCCCCAAAATACCCCCACTGATATCCAATTAGATCAGCACTTCCTCCTAAAATTCTCCCAACAGGCAGAGTGCATGGGGGAAATGAAAGGATCGCGTCAGGGTTTGAAGACGTGGTTCAGGTGATCGAATGCTTAGCAATCATGAGAAGGTCTGAGTCCCATCCTCACCACTGCTTGAATTGGGGTGTGGTGCTGCACACTGGAATCCCATTACCCAGGAGGTAGAGGCAAGAGGATTAGAGGACCAAGGTCATTTTTTATGTGATTTTTGAAGACAATACAGATGGGAGTCCCTGTCACACATAAACGCAAAATCAACTTTAGCCTCTTTCTTCTCTCTCTCTCTCTCTCTCTCTCTCTCTCTGTGTGTGTGTGTGTATGTGTGTGTTTACAGATGAATGGAGGTCCTCACAGAGGCCAGAAGAGAGTGTCAGATCACCTGGATCTAAAATGACAGACAGCTGTGAGTAGCCCAACTTGAATGTTGAGAACTAAATTCAGTTCCTTTGGCAGAGCAGTAACTGCTCTTAACTGCTTAGCCATCCTTCCAGTCATTATTATTAGCTTCTAATTTATGACATTCATTTTTCCTGTGGAGTTTGTGAACACATACTTTAGTCAAAAAAGGCAACATGGAAGAGGAGACTCGCCACAAATCTGCAGTAGAAGACATTTATGTCTCCAGCAGAATCTTCCATCTTAACTTTGATGTTCAGGCTTTCTATTGGGTATGTATCATGTGTGCATGGCATCTTAGTTACTCTTCTACTTCTGTGATTGAGGAGTTTAAGTTAGCTTGGGTGACTCCATTTTGAAAGGAGAAGCCATCTTGACTGGGAGCTGAACTCAGGTACCAGGAAATATCACAGAATGTTTACTTGGCAGAAAACAAAGTTAACTCTCCTAGCAACAGCCTCCAGGAAATATCACAGAATAAATATTTGGTATAAAACAGAGAGCGTCTCCCTGACAACAATCAATGAGAATGATTTGGGCAAATTCTTCCCAACATTCCAGATGTAGTTTAGAAGAATGACAATTGTATTATGTGCCTCAGCTACAGGGTCATCTTGCTGTATGACTTTCACCCAATCCTGTAATGCTAAGGCATGAACCCCACTGCTTGCTGTCAAGGAATCCCCCTGCTTGCGGTTCCCACCCCCCCAAAAAAAAACTGTTCACCCAGGGCTCAGGGTCCCAGTTCTCTACTGCTGTATTGGTGAGACTTGGGTACTGAGTTTGATCACTCTTGTAATATAGCTGTCTTGCTTCTGCACCGAGTCATCTCCTGGTGGTCTCTGAGGTTCTTGTGATCCTGGCATAACACTCAGAGTCCTTCTTAGATCAGAGGTTTTATTCTTATGATTAAGAAATTTTATTTCATTCTTAGAAAATTGCCTTCGCCTTCCTGTGTGTGTGAGTTGTGAGATCCCCTGGAAGTGGATTCACAGACAGTGGTCAAGGCGTTGGGGATTGAGCCTAGGTCCATCTGGAGCAGTAGGCACCTCTTTAGCCACTGTGACAGCCCTCCAGTAGTTCGTTATGTGGTTAAAAAACAAAAAACAAAACAAAACAAAACAAAACAAAAACAGTATTAATCACTGTCAAATAAAATCGGTACAACTCATCGGATAGTGGGATTTTTGGGTGAAGAAAACTCAAGACACCCGCCTGCCAATGCCTGCAGGAATGCTAGGATGACAGGCGTGTGCTGCCA